CTGGACTTCATTTGACAGCCTAACATGCATTAGAGAAACTCAAATGGGATGCTGGCAGTTTTTGGCCAACCTGTCAGGCAGTTACATATCTTCTGCACAACTGGCTATGGTTTTTAATCTCCAGTGGGTTTTTCAATTTCTGCAGCTACTTCTGTCACATTACCTGCTGAGAGTTGTGGAGACAAGCAGTCAGCTGATGTGGTTTTAGTTCCTAGACAGAATTGCCTGTCATGCATACATGGCAGTTACCTCACTGGCCGTTGGTCAGCCCTCATTGCCAATGATTTGAATCCTCTCAATGTGTTTTTAAAGGACTTCAGTTTGTGTGCAGCCTGAGTTCACAGATCACAAATGATCTTTTCCATTCATCCTGTAATCCATGTATTTCCTTTTCCATGCTGGGATTTTTTCTCTTGTTTTACACAAGCATTTCAGAAGCAAAGATACTAAGCTTCCCAGGACCGCCTCTGGGTCACTTCTCACAGCTGTTAGTGCGACAGGTGTTATCATAAATTAAAAGTATGTAAAGTGTAAGGGCTGGGCTCTTCAAGGTTGAAACTTCCACTTCTCCAGAAGCAGCTAGAGCAATTTCTATCTGAAGTATGCTAGACATTAGGAAAAAATTTCTTCATCAAAAGGGTTGTCATGTATTGGAGCGGGCTGCCCAAGCGAGTGGTTGAGTCACCATCCCAGGAGGTATTTATAAGACATGTAGATGTGGCACTTTGGGATGTGATTTAGTGGTGAACATGGTGGTGCTAGATTAACAGTTGGACTTGATGATCTTCAAGATCTTTTCCAACCTATATGATTCTATTATTCTGTGCTCAACAATACAATGGTACTAATCTTTCATCAAATGAAACATAGGAATAAACGCTGCACCATGATATAACACAGAAAAGAGAAAATACTGCTTGCAGCTATTTCAGAGCTGGGACTTTTGTAACTTAGAGTTCAAGTGAGGTGTCAGTTCCCCAGGGAAATTTTTATGACCAAGAAAAGATAACTCTGCCTATCAGTCAGCACTTCATTCTCCCCATTGTCAGATTTAATATGAACCTGTTTTCATTTTAAGCTCACCTCTCCCAGCAGTATCCATCCATGGGCATGGATGGCTGCTGCTGGGAGTGGTGAGCTTAAAATGAAGCATTTTATCATTCCCCTCCTCACACTTTCCTTCTTGCAAAGCAACCTCCCTTTATTCAGTGCCAGCTCTCCTTGACCTCTGCCTTTCCTCTCTGCTGTGGTTTCCCTCTTTCTTCTTCTGTATTGCTCTGTACATGAAGTCTTACCTATAGTCAGTAGTGCAGCACCTCCCATGTGATAGTTCCTACAGCTTCTTATTCATTCCACATTGTATTTCTGTGCTCTCCTCAATACTATGATATTTGACTACAGTTACCCATTCCCTTTGCTGCAAAGCTGCAACTGGTTTTTCTTCAGTATATGTAATAACTTCCTTTCATACTCAGTGAGCTGTACGTATTTTTTTCCATATCAGTCTTTCCCAACACCATTCTGAATGCTGACTTTGTCCTCCAGCGCTTGCCATCCCTCCCAGCTTGCCATCACCTGAAGATTTAGTAAGTGAGTCTTCCCTGTGGGAGCTGAGAAGGGAGTGAGGCTGTCCAAGGCAGAAGATCATGAAAGGACCAGACAGAGTGACATAAAACACCAAGAAGGCTTTCCTCTTGTGCTTCGTGCTCTGGCTCTTTGGTGAGTGGCATGTCGTGAGGCCGGGCAGCACTCGCTCCCCCACAGGTGACTGCATTTCCAGGTCCCTTGCTGTGCGCTCTGCTGAGCAATGCCTTGCTGAGCCCGGCTCCACCAGGCCAGGCTTTTAAGGTCCTGGGCCAGCATGAAGTGATTTTCAAGTCAAGTTAGGCGACACGAAGGTGTGCACTCCTGAACATACCTGCCTTCCTAGGAGCTGACAGAGCTGTAAACACATGCTCTAAGCTGCAGCAACTGGTTTCAAGAGTTGATTGTTGGAAAAAAAAATTCCCCTGTGCAGCTGGAATGTGTTGCCTCTTAGTGTAATTGAGTGTCTCTCCTTGGTGCTTTTTATTACCAGAGAATGGATAAGCACCCAATTTACTCTTCTAAACTCACTCATTACTTTGTATACCTTGTCATGTCACTCTTGATTTGTCTCTTCTCTGGCTGACAATGGGAACTGAGCTTTCACCTCTTTTTTTTTTGCAGAAATATTTCTGTGCTTCTAACTGTTGTTGTCACCTGTGTCTGCGCTCCTCAATTTCTGCTGTGGGTTTTGCAGTGGGATGTCCATAAAGAGTTTCAGGCCAGGGATGACCTTTGCATTTCAATATTTTTAATCTCTCCCCTTTCACACGTGACATTTGTATTGCTCCAGGGAGCAAAGATTTGCACTGAGCAGTGAACAAGAGCTCTTCTGTGCTTTTTACAGAGGAGTCACAGTTACTACAGGAATATGACTGAGGAACATAATATAGGTTCTCACCTGCAAATTGCCACTCATTATTATCAGTCCTATTAACCAGTTTTAATGCCCCAATAGATGTTATTCCTGAAACCTCTTGTGGGTGAAGAAAGCCACTGCTGATTGTGAGAGCACAGCATGAGTTGCCTATGGTACAGTACTGCTGTCGTTTAATTCAGTTGTCTTGATCGCTTCCCCCAGTGGGATAGGGGAGAGAATTCAAAGGGTAAAAATGAGAAAAGTCATGGGCTAAGATAAAGACAGTTCAATAGGTAAAGCAAAGCAAAACATGGAATTCATTCATTTCTTCACATCAGCAGTGATGGCCATCTCCAGGAAAGCTGGGCTCCATCACTCCTAGCTGTGACTTGGGAAGACAAACATCATCCGAACGTGTGTGTGTGTCCCCTTCTCCTTCCCCCAACGTCTATTGCAGAGCACACCACCATATGGTCTGGGATATCCCTTTGGCAGTTGGGGTCAGCTTTCCCAGCTGTGTCGCCTCCCAAGTCCTTGTGCAACCCCAGCCTCATGGCTGGTGGGGTGGGAAACAGGTCTTGAGGTTGTGCAAGCACTGCTAAACAATAGCTAAAACATCCCTGTGTTATCAACAGTGCTTTGGTCACAGATCCAAAACATAGCACCATAAAAACTGCTATGAAGAAAACTCTATCCCAGACAAAACCAGTACAAATATTTATGCAGAACTGTGCAAAATGTTATATGGTTAAGCTTTGGCCTGTGACATGAAATAAGCTAGGAATGTCATTGATGTGCTTTTGTATCATTATCTCATATTTATTTGCATTACCACAGTGCACCTCCACCACTTGTATTTGGCTTAGTTGTTTCTTCCAGAGGGATACCCTAGCTGGCTCTAAATACCTGAGAAGCCAGAGGAGCAAGCATCCCTTTGGTAGTCTTTCCAAGGGCTAATAATTTCCAACAGGAATTGGCAACACACTGAACAACAGCAATAGGGTGCTGTGAAAGCACAAATAGACCTTAACTGACCAGCCTCTCTGGGAACCCCACCCCACCAGCACCCTCTGCCCAGGTGGAGGCACAGGAGGTATAACACAACCAGGTCTTGATCCTGTTAGAGGCTGAAATACATAGCATAAAATTGTACTCATGTCACAGAATAACTGAAGGTGGCAGGGACCTCAGGAGGTCTCTAGTCTGATCCCAAGCAGAAATTCAGACCAGGTTTTGTCTACTCTGGTCTTGAAAATCTTCAAGGACTGGAGACTGCACAACCTTTCTGGACAACTGGTTGCACTGCCTGGACACTTCGACCTCTCTTGCTTCAACTTACGCTTGTTGCTACTTGTGTTCCCACTCCACTTTGTGAGCAACCCAGCTGTCTCCTTGATGACCCTCATAGGCATTGGAAAGTCTATTAGGTGCCCCTGAAGGCATCCTTCCTGCAGGCTGAACCTCACCCCTCCTCAGGGGTAAGGGATACAGTCCTCATCACCCTCCATGAGCTCCCTCCAGTTTGTCCATGCCCTTCCTGTATTGTGGGGCCCAAAACTGAACAATCCACCCTAGATGTGGCCTAACAACTGCCAAGTAACTCATCACTTCCCTCTACATACCAGCCAAACTTGTGTTAATACAGCCCAAATTGGGAACCTATCCAGTTAAAACCCCCCAAAAAACCCCCACAAAACAACAAAATACAGGTTTCTCGGGCTTTGTTTTTAAAGACAAAGGTGTCTCCCAATCCAGTTCATGTGTGGCTGTGCCAATGTAATTGAGAGAGTATTATGCCATGGTACTATGACTGAGTAGCCAAAGAGGAGACAGAAGGATAACAAAGGGCTTGAGGAAGCCAATGCTGTGTTCAGGAATTGCAGCCTTGTTTGTATCCCCAGATTCTGGCTTTTACTATGCTCTTTTCTTCCTAAGGAAGTAACTGCTTAGTACTTGTGCCCATAAATGTCTCCACCTACCAAAACAGTCTATGCAGTGCAAGCACAGTTGGCTACACCACAGGTTTAAATGTATGATTTCAGAGAAAAAGGGCAGATGTTCAGAATATCTCTCAAAAGTGCCTCATTTGTGCTTTATGGCAGCCAATAAGGCAAGGCTGAAAAAAAATACATCATTTGATCAAATAATGTCTGTGTGTAGCAGCAGTACTTATTCCCCTTCTTTTAAAGTGCATTGTATTCATCAATCATCGCACTCAAGTCCTTAGTTATTCAAAATAAGAAATAAATCATTAAAATGTCCATGATGATTTTAATACCGTGTTGTTCAGGATGCATACTCCGAAATTCTGGGGAAATACATTATCTAGTCAAAAGGACAAGCTTATAGTTTATGACCCTATTAAAGAAGATGTTATAAAATGCACTGTTGGTTTTGAAAATTGTCAATATTGAGATGACTGCTTTCCTTTGATTACAGCTGGCACCAGGCAATGCTACACTATAGCCCAATGAAGTCTAGGACAGACTTTAGTAAGAAAGGGACAACAAGAATTAATGATTGCAAATTTATTACATGGAACAGCAAATTCAACTGAGTCACATAATAGACAACCAGTGCAATGGGAAGTTTCCTTTCTTTATATAAACCAAGTCATCAAGCTGGTAAATCAACTCATGAACTTCATATTCCATGGTATTCTGAAACAAATTAAAACAGTGTCATGTTTTATGTTGAGATGAATATGACTTAGTTTCACTTCTGTACATCTAGTTAAGTGCCCAAATCTGTTATTTATACTCAAACATTAATCCTCCCTCCTCACACAGCTCTTCTCTTCTCCATGTCCTAACTCTGCTGACCTTTTAGAGTATGAAAGTATGGAATGCATCTTGCAACAAGGTTGGCTCAGGGGGCTGAGCGGTGGATAAAATTTACTACTGTATGTTAGGGCATGAGTATAGAGTAGTGGCTTCTACACCAACATGCTACTGAGCTATGAAACACTTCCCACACACATGTGGACCTAACAACAAGAACAGCTGCACCAGCTCAAACCAGAGATCCATGTAGTTCCTCATGTTCCTTTCATCTGTGAGAAGCAACAGATTGCCCAGGGCAGTGCCTAAGACCAGAGCAAGCAAGTAGCAATGTTGCTCTACAACACTCTCTTAAATCTTTGGTTCCTTTCTTTCCAAAATAGTTTCATCCTGAATATACAGCAAGGGTATTCTTTACTTGTGGGGGTTTTTTGCAGGTTTTATCATAAAAAAACAAACACACCCCCCCAAAAAAAAAACAACAAAAAAACACCCAAAACCAAAACAAAAGAAAAACCAACCAAACCCCTTTCAGTCAGCAGCTAGAAATAATTCTTAGATTGCAAACAAAAATGGTGATCTTTTATTGTGGGATAAAATATTAGAAGAAAAGAGACTGAAGGAGGGTACATGGATATATTGACTATATTGTCCATTTCCCAGTAAAGCTCACTTAGACCTTAAGTAGATACTTTCAAAGATGGATATGTAAGTGCTAGGTCATATTATTAGATCTCATTTTCTTCCTCCCTTACATCCCCAGCCCTGCTCTTCATAGAGAATGTTTACCCTCAAAAAGGTCCTAATTATGATGTGAGGACTACCACCTGCATGTACAGATTCAGTGTTAGGTAGATCTCATGTAGGATTAGGTGACTGAAGGTGCCTTTGAACAAAAAAAGTCTAGCTTTTGTGTTTCAAGTACCATTTACACCCTCTGTCTTTAAACTTTACAGTTTCTGTACCATTTCTATCATTTTGCAGAGGATGAAAATTCCTTCTTACTCAACCTTAAAGAGACAAGAAAACAATCCCTTTGTCAAGAGCGTACACTCTAAGGCTCTGAGCCTTAAAAATCACATTTCTGTTGAGACATCTCCTAGTGACCATATGAAACATCCACATGTGCATCTAGGTTTGTACTAGGTTTGTAATGCTTCTCAGCAACTCCTTCCGTCACGAGAATCATCATTATTGAAAAAATCAGAACAAATTCTTGTCACTTTTGGATGTCCACTTACCACTGCCTTTGATAGTTCTTCCATTTCGAGGCTGAAAAATATATTAATTAGATGACTGTGCAGAAGTACTAGATACCAGATTTATAAGCACACCAAAATAAATCACCATCATGCAGATAGAGTACTGTATAAGAAGACTGCAATAAGATTTCTTATATCAAATATCAGGGGGTCTGTACAGGGTGTGTTGTATGTTTGAATTTGAGAAATATTCATTCAACCTCTGTCCAAACAGCTAAAATTCTGGCTTTAATTATTCTCATTCAGGGTTTTGGTCTCAATCCCTTGGGGAATTGCACATGCCTAAGAAAGAATATACAAATACCAAAACAGAGAGAACCTGGCTGGACACACTTGAAGTAAGCTAAAATGCAAATGACAGTTAATTGGGACTCTGGTTACCTGATATGACCTACTTGATAATATTTTTAATTTTTTTAAAATATGTTGAAAATATTCCTAGAAGTTAGTTTTTTGTTAATCAGAGTGTGTCCAAACCAGCTCATTTGGCATTAGACCATGTCATAGCAAGCCAATGGGTGAAAGACGTGAGAGAAATTATGATAATTTTGCTTTGGCTTTTCACTCTGTTATGCAGTGTGACATCACTTACTGGCCAGACCTTTCAGGCCAAGGGGACAGTCAGCTCAGGCACATTTTATCTAATGCATTTACCATCAGTGCACCTTGACAGTCTTGGAGATACAAGCCACATGGATGATTTGGCTCAAGATAAAACACTTGCAGCAGCATATCTTCAAACAAAAAAAATGTGTGTAATCCATTACTACACAAGATCTCATTATCTTGGGGCTTTTTAGTCAAATCAGAGCTTTTTAAGCAAATGGCTCCCTCAGCTTTCAAGCAAGGGATATTTGGCCTCTACTCAAAACAATTGCAGCAAGAATTGGTGAAGGGAAACAGCTCTCCTGTTATATGGACATATATCATCTGTGATTCAGAATCTTTAGAAGGTAAGAGATTCAGATACCCTGAAAAGGAAAAAAGGCCGTCCCAGAGTCCCATGACTGTCCTGTAAAATAAAACATAATAACAAAGTACTTTAAACTCAGTTCAATAGATCTGTTGACAAATTTTGGTACCATTCTGTTAGAATATTGATAATTCAGGCCTTTTTCAGCAGCATGCAAACAAGATGTTGATAGTCCCCAATGCCCATTCATCTGGCATGCTGATTAAAAATTAATGCCCAAAGGGCATTGTCAAGAACTTATCCATTCTGTCTAGTGTAAATATACTAAATTACCAAAATTAAAGATTCACAGGGTTTAGAAAAGGTATAAAAGAAATCTTTACACATAGGTTAGGTATAAGCAGGGTCTGCACAGATCACTTCCCAACCACTGAAAAAAACCCCAAGCTGACTTTAAAAAAAGCAGCAAAAGAAACAAGGAAAGGGACATACTTCCCTGCCCACTGCTACTTGCTTGTCTTCACATTTACATACCTTCTTTGTAAACTTTGCAGAAGCAATCTGTGATTCCTGTAAGCAGACAGTGTAAGTTAATCAACATGCCAGCTTTTCTTTGGTTTGGTACAGACCCTCTATTACTGATGAGGCTGGTGCACTCCACATGAGAAGAGAGAACCTTACACTTATCACAGATATTGGAACAGCAGCAAACAGATCTTTCTAAGGATTGATTTCAAGCCTTGCTTTAATCAATGTTACTGCATTCATTACCATCATTCAGTATGCTTCCCTCGCTGTACAGCAAAATGCAGCCAGGCTCTGGTAGGGGAAGCAGAGCTCACCCTGGAGCAAATGCAGCAGCTCTGCTCCTCAGGCTTGAATTGTACTGATAGCTCTTACCTTGTTAAAATGTGGCTGCTCCTCACCTTTCAGACTGCCCTTGGTTTTAACCCAAGAATGATTGCTGGTTTTAAGCCTTCCTCTAAAATCTTTATTCTTCAGAAAATTGCTCATTTTTCTACTCAGCCTTACATCAAGGAATAGAAACTTTGCCCATGATTTCATGTGATCAGACTAAGCTTCTCATCTAACACAGCCCTGAACTTGCAGCCTGGTTTGGGAGCCATCCTGCCCATGACATGGCTGCCAGGCTGCATGCTCACAGCCAGCCAGGAATGGGATGGCTTTGTGTGCCATAGGAGCAGTTGGGTTTAGTTACTTGGGGTGGGCTTGAAAAACAAGCACATAAAATGAGCAAGGACATGAAGACAGGGGATGAAAACAGGAAAACAGGCAGATGAGAAACAGGAGAGGAAGAATTTTAAAAGACAAAATATACGAGCAAGAAGGAGGGAATCACATTTCACAGAATCACAGAATCACAGACTATGCTGAGTTGGAAGGGACCCACAAGGATCATTGAGTCACGGTATGAGAAGAGGATTTCTTTGGTTCAAGCCTCAAGACAAATTATAGAGCAACTGACATCAACTTACAGGACTATAAAACACTACGGAAGAAAAAAGTGTTTGCTCAATCAAGGTGTTTTAAGGATGCAAAGAAGGAGAGTACATCAAAGAGACAGTGTGAATGCTACCGTTGTTCTGATATGATTATTACATACCAAGCAAAGATAGAGACTGACTCATGACTTAGCCTGCAGTGCCAACTATCCTAGCTAATTTACAACAGTGAGAGGTTACTATGAGGAAAAAACATGGTAAAAACTGAGCTTCTAAACAGTGTCTTGGTTTGACTTTAGGTAAATGTTCAGTGAGGTGATTGTGATGTAGCTAGGTTTAGATAGCTCTTTTTGCTTTCTTTGTAAATGTCATTAGACATTGATGTTAAATAGTCTTAGTTCTTACAAAATATTTTAAGTTCCCCAGGTGGAGTTCAAGTCCCAAATTGCCATTGACTTTGCCTTTCATAGTGCTTAGGCCTCATTCCTTCTCTTGAAACACCACCTACATTCTCTACATAATCTATAACTCTAATTTTTTTTTTAATTCACATAAATACAGTATGATGGTGAAAGTTGAAGTTCAGCCGAAATCAGTAGGATTTCATAACTGTTTCATTGGGTGCACTACATATAGACTCATGTTTGAGTCTTACATAGACACAAGATTCCTTGTGGGCTAAGAAAGTACAACTTCATGTAATAGATTTGATCAGCTGGGTAAAACTTTACATAGTTCTTTTTCCATATTTCACATTTATATTCAATCTTCCACTTTAATTAGACCACACCTAGAAATCATATTGCAGATATATAGCTGATATTAGTCATATTTTTGAAAGGATATTTTATGAGATTCAGCTCCCAATCTTGAGGGCACATAACAGAGGGTGAATTTTTTGAAAGGTAAAAAGGACTCTGTTCAAAGTTACCAAATGATTCTGTATGTTCCCTCATTAGCTAAGCTGTGGAAGCATAGGAGTCAATACCAAACTCAAAAATATTTATTAGACATTTATGACTGAAATATTAGAATTTTTTATACAATCAAGTTCAATATGATAGAGTTTTATGGTTGCTTGGAATTATAATAAGCTAAAGACACTGGCAAGAAGAGATACTGAAATGCATGTCAAAATACTTTCTATTTTTGTCTTGAACAATCTACTCCCATTTTGAGACAACAGAGAACTCAAACTCCACAAGTAAATTGGCCTTTTTAACATATCCAGGGGCTGAGTGAATTTTATGGAAAAAGTTCTTAATAGAGTGGTGATAATAAAAAAGTGATATAAAGCAGAGATGGCATTGAGCTGGGACCTAATATGATTGCACCAGCGAAAAAGCTATACTCAATAACTCCTCAATTTAATCTTTTTAATCTGAGTCAGAAACACAAAAAAACCCTCACACTCAAATAGACTATTAAAATTGGTAAAGCAAATCATACACCTCCATGTTCAGCATGATTTAAGTTTTGCTATTGATCAAATTTTATGTATATTCGTAGCATAGTTAACCCTGTATTATTAAAAAGTGAGACTCAGGTTTAAATACTGACTGGCTGTAAGAGAATGTTTTGGTTCTTGAACTCTGAATTGGTGAAAACCAGCAATTTCATATATAGTTTAATGTAGTTCAGAATTACATACAAACTACTAACAAGAAGAAATAATCTTTTATATACTCTCCTACATCCCTTAAAACATTTGTTTGGAGAGAAATGTCAAAAAGTTGGTTTTGGAGGGCTTGCTTTTTAACTTTAAGGAGCAGGTTCTTTGAAACAAAAGCAATTACAGCCTACCTCATTTTTATGCATGCTGTTGAATATGGAATAACAGAGATCCAAAACAGAGCTGGATATCTGAAAAAAACAAACAGTACTTTAATACATTTACTGGAGGGATGTGGTGTACAAGTTTTCACAGAATCACAGAATCTGCCAAGTTGGAAGGGACCCACAAGGATCATCGAGTCCAACTCTGGCCCTCCACAGGACACCTCAAGAATCACATCATGTCCCTGAGAGAATTGTCCAAATGCTTCTTGATCTCTGTCAGGCTTGGTGCTGTGACCACTTCTCTGGGAAGTTTCAGTACCCAACTACCCTCTGGGTGAAGAACCTTTTTCTAATACCCAACCTAAACCTCCCCTGACACAACTTCAGGCTATTCCCTCGGGCTCTGTCACTGATCACCACAGAGAAGAGATCACTGTCTACCCTCCTTCCCCTCACGAGGAAACTGTAGACTGCAATGAGGTCTCCCCTCAGTCTCCTCTTCTCCAGGCTTGATTCTGATCCCAGTACAATTTAGATTCACTAAAACCATTCAGAGCAGGGAAAGATCTACTGATGCTATTATGACCTGAAAAACTAGTATTTTATATGAGGAGAATACACACAATACTACTATTGTCAATACAGTCTTGTGCTATAAAGAGACCTAAATCAACCTCTTACATTTAAAATACATTTTTCTATGCTAATTGTTCTAGGAATAGCTTTGGAGTTTGGCATTTTTAATCTATGCTCATTTTCATCTACAAGCATTTCAGGAGATCAATTCTATAAACTTTAACTGTATACTGAAATACACTGTCCCATACTCATTGCCACAGGAGGGTGGTTTGCTTATGCATGCAATCACATTAGATGAGAAATAACTACAGCTCCAAAGGAAGTGAAGTGTAAGACACCTGAACAATGGGCTCTGGGAACTGTTTTCCTCAGGTTTTGGTTTAAAAAAGTGAAAGATTTCAGAAAGAAAAAAACAGCACAAAATGTTTAAAATTTCCAGATACTTCCTGATCCTGCAAATATTTTTCTCTCCTCTTTGAAAATGACCCTTGGGTTTGATATCAAATGCAGTGGGGCTGAGCTTTCAGATACTGATTTTTTTTTTTTCAAAGTGTTTGCAAATTCTGAGCCAGAGACACTAGAGCATAAACGAGCTGTGAAAATTTCTTCTCACTCCCCTCTCCTCTGAGAACCCCAGAGAAAACCCATCAACCCACCAAGCACTCAGGGGACCAGACAGGACCTATAACTCCTGCAGCACTGTCCGGTGCTTCTTACTTCAGTGTTAGGTACCACTGGGATGGCAAGAAAAGCACTTTTTTTTTTCTTTCTCTAGGTCTGTGTTAGCTCCACAGGAAGGAGAGCACATACACCAGCAAACTCGCCCTGCTCTCCAGAGCCACTGGCTCTTTGGCAGAGGCTCTGCCACCAGCAGACATCAGTGCTCTGGGTTATAGAGGACAATTACTATGTCTGGAAGAGAGATCAAACACATTACCAGAGTCAATTTACCTGGGGTTCATTGGACATTTCCATCCACTGACTGAAACACAGTGCCAGTTGCTTTAAAAAGTAAAGGTTAGACATTAGCAGTGTGCCTATCATACCTTAGGATCTGTGTTTTCACTGGGGGAGTCGGGACTGGCTGGTTATTAGCTTGCCCGCCTTTTGGTTACCCAGGTATCCTATTCTGCACCCTGATGCACATCACACCCCTGCCCACACCTGTCCCACCTACTTCTGCGGGCAGCAAAGGGCGCCAGCCTCCCTCCTCCCTCAGGGATTTCATAAGGTATTCCCAGTCCGTTGCCCATTTCCTTCCTCATTTCCCTGCACCGGGCGAGTCTCGTTTCCCACCTCTCCCGGTCAGCCCGTCCCGGGTTGGACCGTCTCTGCCCTACCCGTCCACCGCGCATCGCTGTCAGACGGCAGCGACAGACGTACCTGTTTTTGGGGCAGCTCCACACCGTCCCAGTAGCGCGAGAAAGGCTGCGGGAACCCTGCGGGGACACGGCAGCGTTAGGATGCCGCGGAGCCCAGCCCCGACGGCGCCCCTCAAGGGGAGGCGACCCTTTCAATGTTTCGGGGTTCTGCCGTGTTCCCCCTCTCCGCCCCTGCCTCCCGGTGCCGGGACGTACCTGAGCCCCGCGGGAGGGCGCAGAGGCAGCAGGCAGCCAGGAGCAAGGGCAGGGCGGGCGGTGACGAGGGCATGGCCGGGCGGGGACAGACGGACGGACGGGCGGACGGGCTGCCTTTATGGAGCCGCGCCGAGCCCCATATGGAGCCGCCGAGCCAATGGGCGCCGGGGCGGTCCCAAGCACCGCTGCCACTGTCGCTCCCTCTGCCGGACACGGCGCTGCCACCCCCTGCCGCCCCTCTGGACCGGCCCGCCCGCGGAAGGTCCAGCATTAGACATCCCGTCCTCTGCCCTCTGGAACTCTCCGTCAGAGCCGCTTTTCTGAAAGAGGTGATACAGAGGAAGGAGGGAGGGAAGAAAAGAAGATGCTATGCGTGCTCAAGTGAAGGAGCTGCTGGGATTTTCATTTTAAGTAAAAAATTCAGTTTTGTAGTAGGACTTGCTGAGTGTTTAAAAAATATTTCTCCTCGTGACAGTTTGGAAAATAACGTTTTCATTCTAATTAGAAGGGATGTGAACTTTCATATTGAACAAGTCCTGGCCAATCTTACTACATTTACCTTTGTGTGAAATAAGGAAAGCCATCCACCTCTTAATTTCATAGTGGATACGGTTGTAGACAAGACATAGATCTGCTCACAACAGAAAGTGATTCTCTGTTCTTCCCGATTTAATCCTTGGGTTTGACTATGGAAAACTTCCTGGTTTTCTCTCTGAGAGTTCTCAGGGTAATGCTTTCTAAACAGGTTACAGTCTGAGAAGGCGGAGTCCTCCCAGACACTGTTTTCATAGACTTTGGGTGTGCAAAAGCAAATACATAGTCAGTTCTCCAGCTTCTAATATATTGGAATTTGATGATCTTTAAGGTCCCTTCCAAGACCCTAATCATTCTATGATTCTCTGTGCTAGAGATGCTTGGGAGGCAATGGCTCCAATGTGGGATGTAAGACATAAAAAGCTGCAGAAGGTATTATTGTCACAGCAGCCCACCTCATCTCGTAATGTCCCTCAATGGTTGTGCTGCACACTAAAAGGATGACGGCAGGACTGTTCCGAGTGGAAACATTTCAGAGCAGTCAGAGAGGAGATGCACCTGCTTTCTCACAAAGAAAAGGGGAGCCAGACTTCATGTGACTTCGTCAGCTGCACAGCTGTGTGTCCTGAGCACATAAAGAGGTGTAGGAGGAGCCAAGTGACCCTAGCATCATTAGTTCACCCTTTGTTCCTTCTCCTGGGAGAGACAGAAGTCTTCACCTCATCACAGCCCTCTGGGGGCAATAATCTGAGTGAGAAGCTCTCAGGAGAGATCAAATATTCCTATAGCAGACACTCAGCTGTCAGCTTTTCGCTGTTTTAAATGGAAATGGGAGTTTCAAGACAGGATAGTATTAGAAAAGACTATTCCCTCTGACTGTGTAATTTTTACCCTCTGTGGGAGCTAAGCAGATTGCAGCGAGTTTTGTGATGATGGTTTCTCACAGCAAATCCTCACAGGCTTTCAGTAACAAGGAGATGCAGGGTTCCAAGAAGCCCATAGCTCCATTCTGCAATGACCCTGCTTTCTGTTCGAGTCCATGAAATCCTAGAGTGAATGGAGGATGGTGATTTATTTTTCATGGCAGCAAGAAGCAGGTTCATGTTTGGTGTAATTTCATTTAAGCCAAATGTAGTCACAGAAATGTGAAAGCAGACCTGAGTGTGAGCTGAATGCATCAGAGGTAGACAGTGAGAGAATATACTCTGAAGGACTGTACATTTTCATATTAACTGTCTTCTTTCTATCTTTTGACACTTTAACCAAACTGAAAATTATTGTTCACCAACAGTGTTTCTCTTGCCATGCTTATCACAGATTTTGCATCCAACTCACTCCCATGCGGCAGAAATGCGGGATCTTGGAGACTCATTATAGATTCACTGTTTGCTACTATATTTTTAGTATTAGCTTATGAGATACCAATGCTTTTAAATTCTAAATATTTCCTACCTTTTTCTAGAGAATACTATGAAATTATTACCAGATTAAGATTGCCACTGATTATTCACTGTAATGGGATGTGGTTCTCTGGTTTCCCTGTCTGGTAAGAAAGGCACAATCTGTTGCTTTCTTTCTCAGGCAACTCATTACCTGCTTAAATTCCCACTTCTTTCCCACACAGCCCATTCTATAGTAGCCCCTTTCAAAGTATTTAAACATATCTGAGTTCAGTAGTGGGATTTTTTTGTAACAGCATAAGGAATGAGACGTGTGATCACGTCAGGTGGGTAAAATCTACGTCTCCCTGACATAAAATACTGGATGCTACCTGAACCTTTCCTTCTTCAATCTGCTGCTTTAATTCACCCTTTCCCAGGGAGTACCCTATGGGTACTCTGTGTCTTCCTTCAGCAAATTTTGCCTATACGTTGGTGCAGTGAAGCCTGTGGATTTGCATCACATGAGGTTTATACTAAGATGAGATAAAAATTAACTCAGTCAAGTTCTGTTAAAAAAAACCAGTACGACCTATCACGAGACTGAAAATAGTATTTTATTACAGTCTGTACGGTATGAGAGAAGAATGGGAAAAGTGTTTAAAAACAAAATTTCAAATAGATGAAGATGTCGTATTATGAACACATTCAGCTTCCTTAAATCAGAACTTTCTCTGCTGCTGTACATTTAATTTCAAAGGTGTTAGCTAAGGTGCAGCTCTCCCAATGGATATATCAACACCAAGCCACATTAATGAGCCATACTTTTACTGCACAAATAAAATTTCTGCTTTAAGGTCCTGGGCTACCCACGTAAAGAGAGAGAAATAGGGTGAGTTTCAGTGCCCACAGTGATTCACAAATGAGTTAAAAATTAAGCTTTAGTGGGGGGGTCAATGAGGGTTTTTTATGGTAAGGAGGCTTGGCATATATTTAGCAGCAGCAATATTATGACACCCATAATTTTAGTATAAAACATGCTGTGACTGATAAATTAATAACAAGAAAATTTGGCATCAGTGGGCAAAAAGGGTAAAGGGCTCTCTTGCTTTTTGTAAATGATCTCTGCAATGAAATCAGCAGTTATCACAGACAGCAAGGACAGAGCCTGCAAAATGGCATCCCAGCTGGCTCCTTCTGCTTCCTCGTGCATCTCCCCCTCTGCAGCTCAGCAGTGCTTGGTACAAAGCCTTATCCTGCTCTGAGGGCTTTTTATACCTCACCCATGACCTGTCTGGAAAGATGAGGAAAGCCGAAGAAACTAGAGGGTGTTTATTAGGCAAACATGCCACAAAGCCTGCAGAGATCTCCCACTACTCATCTTCTATTAAACATGACAGTGCCAACTTATGCCGAATACAAGGCTGAGTTTAGTGTGTTATTGTACTTTACAGATATAAAGCCACAGTCTTAAAGTTGAGTACGCCAACAAGTAGATATTTGAAGGGGATCAGTAAAAGCGTGTCTCATAGAGCAGGAGTTCAAAGACAAGAAGTTAACCAAGAGCATCAAAATGGAGAATGGATGCTAATGGGGAAGTTAGGAACCTACATCAGGAATCTCAACATTTGTACTCTTTTGGATAGTTTCTTGGCTAATTTCTTGGAGAAACATGATTTTATGTCTGCAACATTGAGACAGAGAAGTGTAAAATCCTTTGAAATGAAGCAATTTGCACCTACCAGGTTGTGCTGTGTGGAAGTAGTACTGTGGCAATGGGCTGTATTGGGCTACACTGAGCTGAAAGTTCAGTATAATTAGTACATGTCAAGACATTTGAAAAGATCTTCAACCTAGAACTCTGACTTGGCTTAATTTTATTCGGTGTTGCTCCAGCTGGACAAGGAAGCAGTATGTTCTTCTGCTTAGGCAACCCATGAGATAACTCAATCAATACCTGCGGTTGAGCGTTCATCAAGGATTTGTCCAGAATGATGTCACAACAAAGTACATGCTCTGGTGTTTGGGTTTGTTGTTTTGGTTTTTTTTTCCAAACCAGGGAAAGCCCACTAGTTAAATGATGTAAAATACAAAAGGACAGAATGTCTAGAGGGAGATGGTAAGTGGGTGGATGGATGGCAGCCTCCTTCTTTTCTGGTGATACAACTTAAAATAGACAGTGTTGCTGTGGAAACATGCCTAAATGGTGCAATGCTTCCAAATGCAGGGTTGGGGTGTCCCTTTTGCTAAAAAAAGAAATAGTGATTTTCAGAGACTCTTGTGAGCTGAGCCTGAAGATGAACAGAGGACCTAGTGCCCTGTAACAAGAACTGACAGCCTAAGAAAAGGAAAGTTTTGGCTCTGAATGCTCAAAAAAGATTGTATGGAATAAGAATTTATGATGTTAGATGGCAAGGGGAGGAATGCTTAATACAGTTGATCTGGAATACCCACAATATTTATAAAGGAACTGAGAAAAGAGTCCTGTCAGTAGGATCTCTGCTACAAGATGGTATCCTGAACCACCAAAAAAATCTGCTTTTTGAGATAATATTTAGTTCACATTTGAAAAACACATCTTGCCTTGGCTTGCTCATTTTTTATTTCATTTCATCATTTTGAGCTCAGTTGTAGATTTTGCAATTTAGAGCAACATCACCTGAAAAACACATCATGATACTTTCTTGAACGCTACAGTGATGGATATAGAGCATTAAACATTAAACAACAATTACTTTGTTTGAAGTATAAAGCTGGCACCTTCAGTATTGCCATTTATCAAATACCTATTGCAATAGCAACAGTGACTTATTCATTTAACTGTGTACTTTGTAACTGAGTATATTATAATACTCTTCAGAGATTGTCTGTGAACACAGATTTCATCTTGTTAATCTTCTTTCATTTAAGTTGAATACATAGCAAGAAGATGTAAAATCATTCTCCCTCTTTTTAGATGAAGAAACTCCTGGAGATAAGCCATAATGCTTCTCATGGTTGAGCTATCATGGCCAGTGCTGACATAAGGTTTGATGAATGGCTGATGGTCACACAGTTCCAAACATCAACTGCTCTTTGAGTGAGCTGAATAAATGGAGAAGCTGGTTGATAACCATCAGTTATACTTTGAGGGATGTCAAAGCTTCACATCACATGTTGAAATAATCTTATACTCTCAAGCCTTTTCCTTGCAGTAAGGCTGAAAGCTGTGTCAATAAAACTTTCTATTTACCCAGCCCCTCATATTTTCAGGGCTCTTCTTGGTGGTGGTTGCCAAAGCTGGTTAAATACACTAATTTTAGAAATAGGAATTTTCAAATAGACAATCTCCCATGTGTTCTCATCTTAGTGAGAACAAGATTTTATTGTTGCAGCCCCAGATTGACTGTGGACTAATATCTTGGGAAACATTAAGCTGAAGGAAATAAAATTTACCAGAGATAATCAAGGCAAAGCTAAGTCTTGTGGGCCTGATGTCTTTTTTTCAAGGGCAAGAAACTTCAGCATAAGTTTCAGTGACTGAAGAATTCTGTTGACCTCAGTATTGCAACTCCAAAGGCCGTGTTCTTCTAAACAATCCAACTTCTCTGTCTTAATCCTTCCTCCTATCCCTATTTTTGTCTACATGTTGATTGGGGAACTTCCTTCTCCTTTTTTTTTTTTTTAGTATTGTGTCATGCAAACATGTATGGTGAATTACAGGACACATGGTAACATCATTAACTCTCATTCAGGAAGGCAGCAAAATAACCAGATTCTGTAAAATGATAGACCCTTAATTTCCACTGAAAACAGTCAGACATAAATAGCTCCAAAATTATTCTTGGTTGAGGAGCATGCTCCCAGAGGACCATAGTCTGGAGCATGGCACAGAGGCTGCACCGTGCAGGAGGACATGTGCCCTCCCTGGGGAGTGACTCCCTGTTGCCAGAGCACGGTCTGCCTTTGCACTGCCTTGGCCAGGAGGACATGCCAAGAGCTGTGAAGTCCCAGCCCTCTCTGACTTGCCTTCCTCAGTTTGGATTGTAGAGCAATGCCTGTCATTTTAGGATAACCCTTCTAGACTTGTATCTCCTAGTAGCTGTAGCACAAACATTTTTTTCTTGCCTTCATGAGAGTGGTGCTGTTCCTAGTTAATTATGGAGCTACTGGTATATGGGAAACAAATGTTCACGTTTCTCCTGATAGATACCACAACTGCCACCTCCTAAGAGCCAGCCCCAACCAGCAAGTTATAAATTATTTTAAGCACTCAGTATCCCTGCGAAAGCTGTTCCACTTAATGTAAAATACTCTGATCCTACATGCATTCATTAGCAAATGGGACCCGGGTTCTGTGCCTGCCTCCACCTCTTTTTTTATCCTTACAATCCCATGACCCAAGTCACCCCTCAGCTTCCTTCAGGTATTTCTGCTTACCCCAAAACTGGTCAGTTTTCTAAGGCAGTGATAATCAAACAGAAGACAACAGCTCTCCCAACTCTTGATAATGTAGCACCACTGGTATCAGGTCAGTCAGGAGCTGTGTCTTACCATGTTGTCCTCATGTGTTTTTCCAGCATTTGAGAATGTGATCTCAAACACTGGCAAAGAAAAGTATTGGCTTAGAGTAGCACAGCTGTCTCCACCCAATACCCTCTTTTGAGAAACAGTGACAAAAAAAAACTCTTAAAAACCTGGTTTGCTTTTTTATCTGTGCCCAGAGCAGTTCTGGCACTCTCTGTCTGTGCAATGCTAATCTTGCAACTCCTGTTGAGGCACAGAACAGTGCATGAGTATATGCAGCTTGCCCTCACTGGAGTCTAAGTCACAGATGCAACAGTGAGCACTGTACCTGCAGTATCACAGCAACTTTGTCACCTGGAAATTGTACCTTGGTGAATGCAGCAGGTGAACTTAAGACTCAGTTGCTTGCCAGTTTGACTCTGCCAGCTATAGAGAGAAATGAAAGTTGGTAAATCCAGCTGTCTGATTCAGGCCATGGGGAAAGGAGAGGGTTAAAAGAGGGTAGCAGGTTACTTTGAAGTATAGTAACTTGTTTTGAACACTAATTGCTTGAGTCAATTTTCTTAATTTCTCTACTTTGGAAAACACCCATAACTGGGACTTAAAACTCTATTGTTATTTCTGATTTTTATTTAAAGAATTGACTTACCTCAATACATTGACATAATAATTTGCTTTTTGGCTGCACTCATTTTGTGACCTATATAATTAATTTTGAATCATTGAGTTCAATTTTAATTGACATTGATTTGATAATTAAATGTAGTTCTTAGCTCCTCTAGCCCAGTCCTAGCAGCACGTTTGGTTCATTGCTATTAACAAACCCCGCAAAGCTGCTTTTGCTTTTCAAACTATCAGCTCAGAGTTAGTGTCTGAAGAATGCAAGATAAATTAGATACTTTAGCTAATGACCTACTTACCTCAGTCTATACTTTTTGTGTCCTTCTCAAAGGGCAACAAATGGTGTAATTATATGAAAAGATTTAACAATTCCAAGGCACTTATCATGGGGTAAAATTTGTTTCTACCCTGAAATAAGAAGTGCACTTAGTCTTCAAATGAACACATCTAATTTGCTGCTTACGGATCTAATCTTGCCCCTACGGCAGCCAGTATGATTTTACTACAGATATCAGCCCTTAGGCCCCCCACTCTTTCCACACACCTCAGTCATTTCTATGCACCAGCTCTGTTTGACATGCACTTTATAGGTCATTGCTAGTTGAAACTGCTTTATATAAAAAATAATCCAGGAAATACATACTACTTTATGTATTATATTTAGGCCATACTAGAAAATCCTACATCTGTATGAGGCTGTATATTCTTGTATTCCTTGGCCTGATTTTTTTTTTTCATTTCTGATGTGTTTCTTAATGACTACAGAGGCCACAAAGTATTCTATATGTTCTAATTTGTATCAACCAGAACCACATTTAAATAAGCTCCCTTATGTTCCAGAAAAAGAATCTGCTGGTGACTATCACATCTTGATAAATGTATTACATACCAAAGGTGCCATGTCTGACCAGCTGCAAAGCAAGATACTTGTACACAAGAAATCTCCTTTAGAGATCAGTTATGCCTCAGAAATACAGTCATGAAGCAGATTGATGAATTCACTAATAATGGCACTGCACTAGGAAAAGCATGTCTTCCTCCTGATTTAAATAAGATTTGTTCTTCCTGAGTACTTGCTGCAGAACCAAGTGACTTGTCTTAAGGTCAGCTCTTAAGGAAACAAACCATGACTAAAAGGGCTACCAAGACTAATCCTAGTAATTGGCATGGGATTAAAACCTGAAATAACACCAAAGGGTGAAAAATAAACATAGTGTAAGTTGAACAGTATTGGCAAGCCTAGGCTTCTGCTGAATAGGATAAGCTTGGAAGGTCAAGGAAAATGAGGATTCTTTCAGTGTGATTGGGCTGGAGTGTTCAAGTACAAACTGCAGTATGTATGATTACTTATCTTGTCCACGACAGGGGTTCATTTAAACATTTTTTCTATGCTTAAATGCTATTTGGAATTAACTCATACCAAGAGCAGTCAAGACAGCCTGCCACTGACAGATAACTTCTTATAATGCTTGAATGTGTTCCTGCAGCTCGGATGTCCAGTACCACCTCAGTCCTTCCTGACTGGCCAAATTGCAAATGTTTATCTCTTGCAAGTAAGACTCTTCCAGGAGAAACGTCAAACCTGGAATGAAGATATACAAGACATCTTTTATTAGGACATACAAATCTTTTTTTAATGGCATAAACACTGAACATGTTATTAAGATTAATTTTTTAGGTTTAGGCCCATGTCCTTAAAGAAAAAATGGATGCATCACTTCCATTGGTTACAGAGGCATATCTCTCAAGAAGTCACTCTAGAATGTCCCAGAGAGGGGAGGGTGACTTTTCACCAACTCAACAATCCTTTGCATTGCTCTGACAATGTAAAAGTTCTCTAGTATTAAAAAGAACTCACACTCAACTGTTGATTTTGCTGCCTATTTAAAGTACTAAACCTAACAGTTTAACAGTATTAGTAGCAAGAATCCTGTTGGCCTGAACTAGCAACTGCATAATCCAACAGTACAGTTGCCTATGCAACACATTCTTCAACTTCATCAGACACTTTCAGGCCCAATTACTGACAACAAAGCTTATTAACTGTGCTTAGTTAGGAAAATTGGTTTCTTTTGTACTGGATTAATTATTACACATGTCAGTAACAACATACTTGAAAGGTTAAAATTCTTGAGCTGAGCCTGATAATCTGGCAGGAATTAGTTCCACAGCTGGAGACAGCTTATTAATAAATCTGCATGGCTGCAGTTGTAGTCATCGCTTTGAAGCCTGAAGAAAGGAGCAACTTTCTAGTCTGTTCAAGACTCAAACCGGTGACAGCCACAGATTTCCAACATGCTTTGCCAACAAAGTAACTGTCACTTATCACAATTTCTACTTCACAGGTAGAGGAAGGGAGGCACAAGAATGTGGTGTCCCAAGATGCTGTTACAAACAAACATAGAGTCAGGTAGAGAATTGTTTTTCTGATTACTGGCTTTTGGCCATTGGTTCCCAGTGAAAGCTATGCTTTTGCTGCCTCACTGAGGGCTAGCAGCCATCAACATAGCACTGAACACATGGCTGCTAAGACATTTGCATTAGCCTGTTCTGCTCCATAGGTTGGCCGTGGCATCTATACCAATGACATCATCCTTGGACTTGGTTGGGCTTTAGCATAGTGCAGCATGGTAGTCAAGTCGGAAAATGCATGGATCGGAGGCTGTAAATCCTCCTCTAACAGGGAAGAGTGTACTGTAAGACTGCAAAATGTGCCCAAGAGGACTTGTTTAAATAGTTGTTAAAAAGAGACTCATCACCAGCACTTGATTTTGATGGGATTCACGGGTATCAGAGTCCTGCAGGTGAGCATCTCTCTGGTCCAGTGAGCAAAGTGATGTGTGCAGCAACTGTGTGTGCACTACTACATCGTGTCTTTGGGGGGAAAGGAGCCCGGGCAGGGCTATGGGCTGTACAGCAGGGCTCAGACACCTGCCTTCACACTACTACTGTTCTTCCCATGTTTTATGGCACCTGTCCTCTCCTCCTGGAGCCTAAACCCGCCCTGTGTCTGCCATGACGGGACGAGAGGTATTAAAGGTCTTTTCCAACAAAAATGATTCTGTGATTCTGTCATTTTCAAGGTTCTTTTTGTTGTTGTTGTTGTTGTTGGGGGGGGGAGGGAGTTGTGTGGGGTTTTTTTGTTTTTGTTTTTGTTTTTTTAAACATGAGCGTTAGGGACCTATTAAAGAGTAAATAAAAAACCAAACCAAACCAAGCACACGTATACAGGTGTATTTACGCGAGTCGGGCTCGCACGCCCCGCTCCCGCCAGGCCGAGGCGAGGCGTGGACGGGAGGGCAAGGGAGGGAAGGGCAGAGCCGCCCGGCCCGTCCTCCATCCCTCCCCCTCCCGCCTCTGGGCGGCCGGGTGCGGCGCTGCGTCTTCTCGCAGCCGAGCCGAGCCGCGCCGTTCCTGTGGCGGCCTTCATCTTCCTCCCCTTCCCGGCGGCGGGGCTGGGGCCTGCCCGCGGCCTCGGGAGGAAATGAAGGCGGCGGTGGCAGGGCCGGGCGGCGGCAGCAGAGGCTGAGCGGGCCCGGGGAGGCGCCGCCGCCGCCCGCAGCCGGGCGGGGGGGGATGTGCCGGCAGCCGGGGCCGCCCGAGCGGGCCGGCCGTGCCGCCGAGTGAGGCGGGACCCCGGCGCTGCGGGGAGCGGCGCTGGAGGGCCGGTAAGCCGGGGAGGGCCGGGCAGGGGCCCGGGCGGGGGAGGCCTGGCGGCCGGCAGTCCCCGGGAGAGGCTCCTCCGGCACCCCGGATAGGGCGAGGAAGGCGGCGGGCGCTGCGGGCACGGGTTATCCATCCCTACCGGGGGTGAGGAGAAGCCCGCCTTGCTTCCTCCTCCGGAACGGGAAAAGTTCACGCCTCTTCAGCCCAGGTCCTTGCGCCCGGGGCTGGGGGTGGGCATTGCCTCGGCTCGTCCTCTGCCTGTAAGATCACGGCCGTGTCCCGGCTTCCTGGGGGGGACCCCCTTGTGTTTACGGAATGAGTGGAGCCCCCAGGAAGCCCCGACGCTGGGGAAAGAGGAGCTGCTGCCGTTCCCGGCTGTGAAGAGCGTGGGGTGCCCGCTGGAGTGGGAGCTGGTGTCTGTCAGACAGGGCACGGCGTGCTGGGCTGGAGGAGGGTCCCGTTCCCGAGCCTGCCCCGGGCCGAGGTGGGTCACGCAGCGGTGCAGGCGCTGCTGCTCCCATAGTTGGTTCCCATCCCGCTGACAGGTGACCTGTGCGTGCGCAGGGAGGGCTCCCCTCTCCAGCAGGAGCTGGAAGAGCAGAGCCACGAGCCTGTTCGTGCCGTCGGGAGGAGAAAAACCTTAAGGAATTACCAGTTTCCAGAAAGGCCTGGTATAATGTAACATTGTTTAGTTGCACCACACAACTTGCCAAAGGAGCCTGTGTGACAGATTTTGATCCAAGATTTTTTGGAAGTGTAATAAATTGGCCAGATCTCTCACCTCTAAGATAACACAAAGGAGACATTGATGAAAATGGATTAGTTATCTGAGCTAGCTGTTGTTTGGCCTTTATTACCAGTTCCACTTGAAATGACATCATTAGTCACATGCAGATGGGCAAGGAGTTGGGAGTTTGGGACTACTGGCATGCTGCTGCCAGTCATGATTCCCCCAGGCACTGTCCTGCCAAGGAGCCCCAGTCCAAGCAGCACAAGCTGCAGAGCAGAGACCGTGCACTGAGTTTTAATGTTAAATGTTCTGCACTTTATCCCATCATTCCAATGAAGACAGCAGTCTTTGGCAAAGTATGAGTGTTTATTTGAGGTAGCAGATTGCTCGTGAGCCATAGGTCAAGCCTGCAACTCTGTGTCTTGATCTTTGGTTCTTGTTTGTGTTTGCGGTCCCATTTTTTTCTCTTGCAAAACTGGCATCTGGCTAACCTGAGGGTTATGTGACAGTTTGTGCTAAGTAGCCCTGAGAGGGAAGGACAGAGGAATGGGTGGAGAGAGGAGTTTTGGGGATCTCGTGCTCCTAAAAAGTGTAGAATTGTAATAAGCGGGAGAAGGAGTAACTGGAAGACTCACTGTCCATTTCGTTGTGAGCAAATGGACTACACCTTCAACATATTTTTTGCTTCTTCTACTTGTAAAGAAACAAATGTTTTAGACAACAAGAAGTAACAGACACTTTTGGAAGCAGAAGGAAACTATTACAGAGAAAAAACAGAAGCTAGTACATGTATTCACTAGAAAATAAATAACAGGAGAGGCAACAGAAATACAGTAATATCAGAATAAAGCAGGAAGTGTGATTACCCTATGTGAAAACAATAAAAATATTAAAGAAGGTACAGAAAGGGAGACATAAACACATTATTTAAAAAAAAAAAATACTGATCATTGCATTTAAGTGAGTGTAATGGTTGAGGTACTCCTATATATAATTTTGAATAGTTCTGCTTCTTGAGATCGGTGATAAGCTGCTGATACAGATGTAGTGTAGGATGGTGGAAGTGAGTAACAGTGCCAGGCATTGTAGTTACATAATGAGAGATCCTCTGACAAGACTATTACTTTGATAAGTATGGTTGCAGAGTTGCTGTGTGCATAAAAAAAAAAGTAGACAAAGCTGCTTTACATTTTCCTCTCAGCATCAACATATTGAAGGGTAATAGTGGTGGTGGTTATGGATGTGACTGCAATTCTACTCCCTTTCTGCTCTCTGAGTCCGGAGATGCTTCTGGGTGATTTTGGCTGAAATGTTCTATCCCTACAGCACAGGACCTGGCAGCAAAGTCCTGTGTATGCTAATTGCTTTTCCCATGTCATTTAATGCAATTTCTTAGAAATCCAATACGTAAATTACATAAGGGGATATAGATCAATAGGCCTTACTGAATGGTATGCATCCATCACCATTATAAAAGTGGGCAGACTAGCAGGGATGCTATGAATGTTGGAGGCTGTTTCTACCCTTCTTAATGCAGAACAAATATACTGAGTTGGACAGAAAGGTCTGGTCCAGACCTTTCATTATATGTCTGAAAAGCCCATAGCTGGTGGTTAGAAAGAAATTTCCTCCTGCAGAGTGTCCTCTTAAAGCTTCTGTCAGTCTGCTGCCTTGAACTGAGGTTCCGTTGTTTTTTGAGTGTTGAATGGTTCTCATGGCTAAGCAGAGCTACCTAAAAAGCAAAAATGTCATTACTACATTTTTGTGTCTTGATATCTGATCTAAATTTCCCTCATCTGTGAGAGCTGGAAAATTTTTCAAATGATCATTACTTCTGAAAGATAAATATCAGTGCTTAAAGTGGGAGACGGTGGATGTCATGGCAGACTGAAAAATTAGGGCCTTTGAGACCTAGTGGT